AGAGAACCAGGATTTGTGCCTTCATCTGAATTCAAAGCCACCTTGCCTCAACTGCAAGGACACTTCTCCAAGAAATCAGAAACAAAGCTATGTGGTTACTTCCTAAAGCTTGATGAGGAAGCCCATATCTGTCCCTTGCCCGTGACCCCTAAAGGCTCTGAAACAAGTCAGGGAAACACCTCCTTACCTCTTTGAGCTTTCAGGGCTTATTAGGGGCATATAGGCCCCCCCACCCCCAGCCGTAATGCACTTGGCTCTGGATTAGTATGAATCCAAAAATATCCAATTCTCACTTGGTGATCCCAGGAGTGGGGATGAGCGCTTCCTCTACTCTATAATCTTGTACCCTTGGACTTGCAACTCGTGACTTGGGAGAGGCAAAGAGAGACCCTAGATTCTCTCTTACCTTTCTCCAGCAGGGGTATTTTCTGTGCCATCATCTATACTGTCTTAAGCTTTACTCTGTCTCTCAGACAGTCCTGTGCTTCTCAGAGGGCCATGCCCTGTCAAGAAAGTTGGCAAGCATCTCAATAGGCAGGCTAACATCCCTGGCTAGCTCTTCTCTCTGAAAGTCTAAACTCCACACAGAGGCCACTCTGCTCCCTCCTCCTTACAGGCCCCTTACTTCTATGACTGAAATTCTAGCTCACCCTCACCAGTTCCCACCACTCAGGTCTGGTAGCCATCCTTATCATGGTCCCAGGTTTTCCTTCCCTCCCCATGCCTGCCTGCCTTAATTGCTCCTCCAATGCCTGCTGGCTTGCAGAAGCAAGACCTGAGTACACCCCCTGCCCCTTCAGTCTACTGAGGCTCTTTGAAGGTATGTGGGAAGGTCAGAGGCAGAGCACGTTGAGTAAAGTTCAGATGATGAGTGGCACTGCCTATCATCATCAGTAACCACCAGGTCCATGCCAGGAAGCCAAGTGAGGGCTGGGGCACCAAAACCAGGCCTCTGCACTGACCACAGGATGGCACACTGTGGCCTGTGGTCCTGGGCACAGGCCTGGAATCTGATGCTAATTCTCAGCCCTTCCTGAAGAGAGAACATCAGTTCCTGGTTAGGAGGCGCACGCGCGCGCGCACACACACACACACACACACACACACACACACACACACCCCTGGGACCTAGGAGTGTAAAACTTGTATTTTGTTCTCAATTTTCTAACCTTTAATTCTGTGAAGAGCTGGACTTCAAGTTTAAAAAAAGTCCAAATATAGGATGACTATATAGCTAAACCGAAGTCCTGAGCAGTAGACAGGTGAGTTTGTAAGCTCCCTTGCTTATCCTTTCCCTCTCCAAGTCTACTACCCTGAGAGCTTCTTCAACTCAGCAGCAGAAATACAGCACTAAGATTGAAGCATCTATCTGGAGAAAATGTGTCACCCTCAACCTTGGGTCACAGGGACCCAGAATTCATCCCTTCTCCTCAAAGCCATCTGGTAGTTTTTGGTCAAGCTAAGTCTATGCATACCAGGACTCTGTCATCTATGCTTGTGTGCTTCTCCCAAAGAAATTCTCACACAGGTCCAGAAGGGGACATGTGCAAGGATGTTCACCAGAACATTGTTTGTGGTGACAGAGAAATGAAGGCCATCTGGAATCCCTTCTCCTGGTGATGGACGGGTAAAATATGTGAGCTAGATAACAGGGGATATTATATACAGTTAGAAACACAGATCAGATGTACATAGACCACGCTGGTGATCTTAAAAACAGTGCTTAGTGGGGGAAAAGGTACTGTAACAGCTTTCACACAATTAAAAACACATGCGTCTAAAGCAATTCTATACATTTTAAGGCAGTGGACCTCAACCTTTTTGGCACCAGGGACTGGTGCTCCTTTGAGAATCTAATGCCTGATGATCTGAGGTGGAGCTGAGGCGGTGATGCTAGTGCTGGGGAGCAGCTGTAAATACAGATGAAGCTTCGTTCACACACTCACTGCTCACCTCTTGCTGTGCGGCCAGGTTCTTAATAGGCCACGGACTGCTACTGGTCCACGGCCAGGAGTTTGGGGATCCCTGTTTTAAAGGACATATTTAAACAAAAAGATACATATTATCACATTAGAATGCTGCTCACAGACAAGGAAGGGAAGAGATGTGATATGGGGAAACATTGAGCATGGGAAGGACCAATGATGATAACAAGCCATAAGTCCATAGTATGATCAACTCAATACTCTGCAAAAAAATAAAAATAAAACATACCATGATGCTGAAACCTTCCAGACCTGGAAGAACTGTACTGTTTATGTTATAACAATGATGACAAAACTTATCAGTTCTGGCCAGATACCTTCAGGGGGCAGGGAGAAGGCAGAGCCCATAGATAGCACTTTCTCACAAGAGTGATACCAAGAAATGACCCAAGTTTGCCATCTGTTCCTGATCATCTGTTGAATCAGCCCATGTCAGAGACCCCAGGAACCACCAGGATGAAGACAGGAAGCTACATGGCATAGATCAGGCAACCGAAGCAAGAATGTGCCTAAGAGGACAATGTCGACACCCCCACACCCCCCCGGCTCCACGCAAAAATAGCATCAGTACATTAAGATGAAAAAGGGCAGCCCCTCAGCCCAGAGCTATGGGGAATGTACCCTCTTCCAAATAATCTGAGTCATAGTGGCTCAGGTCACTTCTGTTGTCCTATGACTCAGGGGTGAGGGGGAGTACTAACAGCAAGTTAGAGCTCAAAAAATACAGAGAATGAAACAAGAATGTTGACCATTTCCTTCAGTTGGTTAAGGAGGACAAGAGCTGATTTCAAGTGGGAATGACAGTGTCATCTGGAACAGGAGTCCCCAATCCTCAGGTCAAGGCCCCATGGCCTGTTAAGAACCAGGCCGCACAGCAGGTGAGTGGTATGTGTGCAAATGAAGCTTCCTCTGTATTTGCAGTGGCTCCCCAGTGCTAGCGTCACTGCCTCAGCTCCACTTCAGAGCATCAGGCATTAAATTCTCATAGAAGCACCCCCTGGTACCAAAAAGGTTGGGGACCGCTGATCTAGAAGGTCTGTTGTCTAATGAAAAGGGTGCTGGCAGCCTCTCCTGATCCCTCCCATCTGATCATGGGAACTGCTCAGGATATGAGTTAGCAAAGGTATCTGCCTCTCACACTAAGTAAGGTGCAGCTCCTCGGAACTGGGACAGGAAGCTACTAGGCCAGCAGACAGGAGCCAGACCTTGGGCAGTAACATTCAAATATCCAATATGTATGCTCTCTTGGGCAACACAGATTGCCTTTCTTGGGGCTGTTGTGGTTTTTCCATTTTAGTTCCAAGGGAACAAAAGAGCTTTTTAGCAACTGGATTGGATCCTGGATTATTTTTAGAAACAAATTTCAGCAGAATCATGCCATGTTCACGAAGGAGGGGAAGGCCACTCTCCCTTGGCTACGGGGTCAAGATCTTGTTGTTCCCAGGCCACAGGTTCTGTTGGAGCCCTTGAGGGTGAAGAGAAAGCTGCCTGGCCTCAGACTAAGGAAACCACATCTTATCCACCAAAAGGGGGTGGGGTAGGCAGCCTGCTGTTCTGTCCCCAGGGGCCCAGCAAGAGAGGAAGCAAAATAACATTCTTGTGTTACCCAGACTAGTCAGAGTACCACACCCTGGACATCACGCCTGGCCAACACTCCATCACCTCTCTCCACTCCACGACAGTCCACCAATACAGAGTACAGAGAACCATCTCCTGGCTTTGCCTGTTCGAGGCTTCTCTCAGCCCATGGTTTCCTGGAAGTCGCAGACAATTGCACAAAGGCCCCATGCTGAGAAGATGGCATTTGTCAGGAAAGAGCTGAGAACATTCCCTAATAACCTGTCACCTCACTGCCCTGGTTCCACTCTTTCTTATCACTCAGCGCACACACAGGAGCCATGAAGTCAGCTTGGGGCTTGAGAAAGTAGACTGATCACACTCCCCTTGTACTGTGTTGTACTTCAGAGCAGTGGTTCTTAAACCTGAGTGAGCATCGGGATCTCAGGAGGATTGGTTAAAACTTATTTCGGGGCCTGCTCCCAGCGTTTCTGATTCAGGAGATCAGGAGTGGGGCCTGAGGATGTGTACCTCTAACAAGTTCCCTAACAAGAGGATGCTGATGCGGCTGGTCTGGGAACCACACTTCCTAATGTTGCAGAGGTTATGAAGAGTTTCTGCAAACAATGTCATGACAACCTCCAACAATAGCAGGTTAACACGCTTGAGAGCCTTGAATGGGGGCCAGTCTCGACATTGCCCAGATCTAGGCTGACAGGGGAGGAACAGGAGAGGCTCGTCACATATCTCCTCCTGCTTTCCCCTCTCCCTCCTCTAGCCCCTCCAGGATGCTCTGCTTCCATTTTCATTTCAGACAGCTCCCTTTCCCAGAGAGAGCCCTGATCTTCCCAAGGAGAGCCACTCTCCCCTGGGGCCTAGAGATAACAGACTGAAGAGGACTTCCCCGACAGGCTGCAGCAGAAGCCAAGATTTATTCAAAAAGTTAAAACAAGCTACCCTGTCAGGGTCAGAGGACACCCAGACCCCTTTCCAGTTCAGGTGGAGCTGAGCACCCTCTGCATTCCTGGTTCCTCCGTCCTCAGGAGGTGAGAGATGACGGAAAAGGTGAGAGAACAAGAGACACCTATCACCAGCTTCGGGATCCCCAATATTACTGCTCCCTGGCACATCTGGGCCCCAGGCTGCCTTTTCCCTGCCACCCTGCAAAGCCCCGCAAAAGGGCTGGCCCATAATCCCCCACCCCCAACCACAATACCTCCGGGTGAGGGGGCACCTGCCTGCTGCTCTAATGGGGCACAAGGCAGTGGCAAGGGCGTGGCTGGCGGGGCAGCAGCAGCTGCTGTTTTCCATCGGGTGACAGGCTGCTGTAAACACTCGTTTTAGGTTGCCATGGCAAAGTGAGTGCACAGCCTGGCCACGGTACAGCTATTTACGTGCCTGTAATGGCAGAGTGGTCTGTTTTTTATTATTTTACTTTTAAAGTTTTCCTTTCCCAGCCCCCTAAAACAGCTTAAAAAATAAAAATAAAGAAGAGCTACCACAACATTCTTAGGAACGAAAAGAAGAGCCAGAAAATACAGCTTAGGACTTGGGCCAGCAAGGGGGAGATGGAAGCGAGGGGTCCAAGTAAGTTCCTTTAAGGAAGGGAAGGTGTAGCTTCTTGTCCACACAGGTCTCTGCCTCAGCTCATCAAGGAGAAAGGCAGCACTCAGAGTCTTCTCACCTCTGTATCACTTACATTATCAACAGGAGGCAAAGCCACCTGGTCTTCTTCCTTCCTGTCAAAGCCAGGTTCTAGCCAGCAAGTTCCTTGACCACCCCTACTCCCCACCAGCCCCCACTGGCTGCCAATTTCATCAGAATGAAGATACAGAGGATTCTACCAGGGGTCATGGGAAGAAGGCCTCAAAGCAGCATCTCCCCTACCCGCCATGGGTGCAGTGTCACCCTGCATGGAGCCTGGCCACTCCAGGCTGGAGGTATGAAGAGAATGACCTCGAGAGGTGCCTCTAAAGGGATACATGTTTTCCCCCCACTTGTACGGAGAACTGCCATCCTGTTCTCACTCCTTAGGGAGTTCTGGGGTGAAGAGATACTTGTGCTCAACAGGATTTAAGGTTTAAGTCAGGGTGGTGAGGATCCTTAGCTACGACCAAGGAGTCAGCAAAGTTCAGATGCCGAAGAACGATCAAAAGTGAGGTTGATTCTTCCCGGGACACATATGTCTCCAAGGCACCAGGCATCTGGGAAAGGTTTGTGGTAGAGGAGGTAGGGAGTAATCAGAGATCAGCCACTGGAGTCACACACAAACTAAGCTGAATGTATATACGGACTTTGATAAATATGCTATAGGCTGCCAATCACTAAATGACATCTAAGTAAGAGGGAGTCACCTTCCAGAAACAGTTGGTTGAAATACAAAAGATGCTGCAGGATTTTATCATTCCTCTCCCTCCACTTATTCCAGCTCCTTTGGATTAGTATGTCCTTAAGAGAAGGACCTCCCCCACTCCCTATCCCCCCACCCCCAATGCCAGTAGGCACGTTAATCACATAAAAGGAAAGTTAGGGCAGCGTAAGAGCAAATCCTACAGACTGTTCCGATCTCTTCCATTGCAGATTATAACTGAATGCCTCCCAGATATCACCACGGCTCAGAAAGGATATCGATGAGAACAAACCCTGCGGGGAGGAGAGAGGGCAGAAGGGGGAAGCTGCTGCTGACTCTGTCAGGGAAGCACCCACTGCTGCCCCAGGAGTGGTCGAAGTCTTAACTGACAGCCTTGGTTTAGCTGACAAAGCCTTGTTGGGAAAATCAGAACTTGGGACAGAAATCAGTCTTGGCAGCACCTTGAGGTCAAAAGAGCAGAATAGGCATGGTTTCTAAGCCTGTCAAACCAACTGTCATCAGCATCCCACTGTTCCTGCAGGGTAGGAAGGGAGACGGGAGGAGGTGAGGAAAGGGTCTGATATGGGGCACCATCCTGGTCAGCTGGGAGCAGGCTGATAGCAAGGCACCACAGGTGAGCTTGTGCCCCAGACACCAGTGCTTCTGCTCCTGAGTCTCGGGGTATTAATTCAAGTAGAGTGGCCATTACTTGGAAATACATAAAAAGACAAAGAGAAGCAGACCTGTTTCAGAGCCCCCAAAGTAGACTAAACTTCCAGAAATCATGGGCTAGAAAGAACATCTATTCACAAAAGGGCTCAGATCCATGGTGAGGAACACAGGGCCCATTGTTGAAAAAGAGAAAGGGCGGGAGACAAAGGTGACTCAGTCCTAGCTGGTCATTGTTGATGGAAGTCTCAGCAGAGAGAAAGTGGAAAGTACGGTGTATTGTTCTTCCAAGCGAGCAGAAAGGTTGTATCACCCCTCTATCCCAACCTCTGCCCCAGTGCCTGACCTAACATGAGGAGTTAATGAATAAGTCACCCTCCTCTGCCAATCTCCAGAGAGAATCTGTTATCTGTAAGTCCCAGAACCACTCCTTCAGCACTTGCTCCCTCTCCCCCTCCTTCTTG